CTGGGCGTTTGTAAGACGAGGCACGGTTCAATTATAGACCAAACTGAAGATGCTTGACAGTCATACAAAATTCGAAACGTGCGTCAGCTATTGGATGAGTGCATAAGTTCGTGCCCGATTTCAAGTGCAAACTACAATAAAATTGAAATTTTTTGAAGAAAGCGCTTTTATTAATCAATTATGTATTCGCCATCATGTTTGGCAATCCACTCCCAACGTTCAACCAATTTACGGATGCCTGATTCATAGAAATCGGGCGGTTTCTCGTTAAAAAAAGGGTCAAGGTGGTTTTTGACGTCTTCCACATTTTTAAATTTTTTTCCATTCAAATTGTTCTGCAGCGATCGAAATAAATGATAATCAGAAGGTGCAATGTCGGGTGAATATGGGGGATGCCGCATGATTTCCCAATTCATCTCCTTCAGTGTGGCCAGGGTCGGTTTTGCAACATGTGGCCTGGCGTTGTCATGATGGAAAAGAACTCCTTTGCGATTGGCCAAAATCGGACGTTTTTCAATTGAATTCAATTCAATTCAATTCGACCAATTGCTGACAATACGTGTTGGCAGTGGTCGTTTCTCCAGCTGGCAAGAGCTCAAAATAGATCACGCCTCGGATATCCCACCAAATGCACAGCAGTACCTTCATCGGATGCAATCCACCTTTCGACATCGGTTCCGCTCCTTCGTGTGTCTGTTTCCATGCTCTCTCTTCCGTCGAAATACGTAAGTTATTCGCAACTAAAGTCCTTAGAACATCGTCATCAAGCTCAGAAGGCCGTCCACTGCGAGGTTGATCTTCGAGGTTAAAATCTCCAGAACGAAATTTCGCGAACCATTTCTTTACTGTGCGGAGTGCTGGAGCACGGTCCAAATAAACTTCGCGAATATCTTTAGTTGCAGCGCCTACTGTTTTTCCTTTGCGGAATTCGTATAACATAATATGGCGCATATGATCTTTTTCGTTGTCCATCTTCCATGCGTCTTTTCACTAAGCAACTCAAATCAAAATGAAGTTATTTTATGCTTGTCACCTTTCCAACCATATATAATATGTATATATTTGAACGGCATCCAGCGGAATCGGGCACGAACTTATGCACTCATCCAATATTTAACCCAGTGTTGCCAAAAAGATAATAGCTAAAAACTCACCCTTTACAAATGAATACCAAGTATATAATAAAAGTGTAAAATTACCGTTAATTTCATTCAAACCACGCGGAGTAAATATAAAAATGGATATAATGCAAATTTGCCAACTTAAGCAAACTCACGCGTATGTTGGAATGTCTATGTATTTGTACATACATACATATGTATGGTTACGATGTAACGCAGTTGGCTATTTCTTAGCTTGCCGCCCGACGCTAATTAGTCATAAAAAATGCATGTAAGTATGTATGTGTACGTAGTTATGCACAATTAATGCGATAATTCGTTATAAGTGAAGAAACGTGAAGTTTAAATAAAAACAACGTAAGTAAAGGGACCACTATATGTATATAATATATATATTTGGCGCTTTGTAACCGCAATAGCGATTTTTGGCCGAGCTGTATGTAGGGACCAACAGCTAATACTAAGCCACCTCCGAACGGCTGATGGCTTTTTTTTAAGGGGAGCCTTTCTTTCATGTCCAAAATACACTCCGAGGTGCGGACATTCCCTGCCCAGGAGCGATCCCAATTAGAAAATTTGATTTAATTTTTTAGTTACATTAAATTTCTATAACTTTTGGTTGTTGGTCGTACCAGGATTTGAACTTCGTCCACAGTGGAAGTGAGCTGTAGAGAAAGAGCTGCCTGCTGCCAGTTAACTTCATTTATCTATTATTTTAATGAATATTTTTATTTTTACAGTTTTATTGAAAAATAAATAGTAGAAACATCTCAAAGCAGCTGGTGCTGTAACAGAGGCTGAGAGGCCACCTTAACGCTTTATATGCCCATAATAGAGGTATTTATGGGTTCATTGCGACCACCATATCACCACCACTGCATGAAATTTTCATAACCAATCATTCATGGTGGGCATTTAATGGCGTCGCGCATTGTGTGCAGTGTGTGAAAAATGTTTGAGAGTCCTTTAGGTGTTACTTAACCTGTAAAGTGGAAATTTTTTATGTGCTCAACACAGCCACCTGGGCGTATGAGTTACAAAAAATAAATATGAAAAATAAATATTCCTCTATGTAAATACATTTGTATATATATGTTTTGTCTTTATATATATATGTTTTGTCTTTATATCTACTCACATATTTACACCTTTCATATTTCAAAGAGAATATATCAAATTTCCATTTTTATTCATCAAATCAATTGAGCTGAATTGAACTCTGTTTCCAAATTTATTTCTAGACAAATATAGCGTTGTATGATTATATGATTATTAATATGCATTTATATATGTATGTACACACATACATATACTTATGTATCTGTCTGCATATGCATGTATTTCATAGCAGGTGTTATTTGATTAAACTCAAAAATTTAAAAAAAAAATTTAATAAAATAAAATTTAAGATTTTTATACTCAACACAGCTGAACATATAAGATTTGCTTAATTATCTGTTGTATGCAACGGCATAAAATAATCAAGATAAGTAAGAAAATTTATATATAAACTTCATGGAATGACGAGACAAACCGACTTAGTCATGTCTTCCTGTTCGTGCGTCCCTGCGTGCTTCCGTGTACACGCTACCTGAAGTAAGGTCTGAGTTATTTTGATGAAATTTCTGGACACAGGATGAAGATGCAAAAAGTTGTGTACTTAAAATTTCCATGGTTTAGTCTGAACACTAGTTGGGTATGGGCGCAATCGGGCATTAACTATGTGTTCATATTCATATAACGGTTTTTTATTTTCCATCACTCCTTGAATCAAGTTATTTAAGACATTCACCAACAGATTTCATTAAGCCACTTGGTCATCTCCGTATCGAAAATAACACAAGCAGACCGATCATGTTGTGTTAGATAGACGATGAGTCTCTAGTGTTCGTGACAGACGTACACGTACACACATTCGACGTCGAAAAGCTACAATCACAACATACAGTGGAACGATTTTGTACTCGACTTACATGCATAAACGTTGGTCTCTGAGAGCGCTTATCTGAAACTCTCTCGGAGAGAAAACCGCCTGCCTATTTCCCAACGTTGCGATCAGTGGGATGGATACCGAAAATTGAAGAGAGGAATGAGCCGCTTGTGCATACAAGAAAGAAACAGGCAAGGATGCGTGAGTATGAAAAGATGCGAGGACTCCCAGAAGGTTTCAAGACCGGAGCAAACTCTTGTAGGACCCAGAGAGGTGATCTAGTGACTGATGCACAGAGTATATTGAATTTATGTATAGATAACACTTCTCCAGCCTGCTGAACGGCATTGCAAATGTCGATGACGATGGAATAGATGGTTCACTGCTTGACTATGAAGAAGCTCTAATAGAAATTGCTCGCGGCGGTGGCTGCGAGGTTGCCGGGTGAACTGTTGAAATACAGCGGAACCCATGCATGCTCTGGCCAATTCACAAAGAGGGGAAGCATATAGCAATCTGTGTGGTTTTAGCGCAAATCCACCATTAAGCAGAAACTCACCATGCGTAAAATCTTGGAAAATACCTGAAAATACAAGAGGACCCACGAGGTGGGGTGTCGGTTCTTCGTTGATTTTAAAGCCGCCTTCGACATCACGAATAGGAGCTGCCTTTACGCCGTAATGTCTGAATTTGGTATTCCCGCAAAACTTTTACGGCTATTTTAAGCGACGTCAAGCAACACTATAACCTCCGTCAGGATCAGGTAGCGCTTTATCGTGTGAAGGTACAATCTCCTATAAGAGTGTACCCCGATGGTATTAAGATTATTGGTTTCAACAGCCGCGCCGTGAGTCCTGCTTTCCCAGATTGGATAAGGAAACGAAGCGTATGGCCTGGGTAGTGAACGAGATCAAGACAAAATATCTCCTGTCATCACACAAACAGTCATCGCATTCACGACTCATCCCCTTCGTCAGTGTTGACAGTCATAACTTTGAAGTCGTTGATAACTTCGTCTATATTGGACTGAGTACGCAATTGACAAGTAAAGTTATCTCCCGAACTAAATTCTACAAGTCACCCATCATACGCGTCCTAATATATGGCGCAGAACATGGACGTATGAGATATACGGCGACATTGACATAGTTCAGTTAGTCAAGAAGCAGCTGGCTAGGTCATGTGGCTAGGTCATGTGGTCCGAGTGGATACGAATACTCAAGCGTTGAAAGCATTGAAAGACACCACTTCGTTGGATTCGGCTAAACTTGGTATTTCCAATTGGCACCAAACAGAAAAAAAGAAGAAACGAAGGGCGCAGTGTTGCTAAATCGGCTATAATCGTATAAGCGGTGTCTACGGGAGTAAAGAAGAATAAGAAGGGGAGGACAAAATAATTACAAAATTTTTGCAACCCGGAAATATCATTTTCAAAAAATTTGAGCTAAGAAACTTTAATTGGCTTTAAATTTATATATAAAAATCCAGTAATCTCCAAGAATCTCCAAAAGTTACCAACTTGAAATTTCGTCAGATTATTTCTATGGTTCCTGCGGATGCTTGTATGAAAAAACAATTTCGGCAAGTGGACCGGGGCTGATCTAAGCGGAATTCCGTAAATAGAAGGCTTTTTGCTTAGATTAACAGGAAGTCTCTACCTCTCTCCGGGAAGTAGACCAGAAACCGAACCATGCCAAAATATCGGACTAGCCTTATCTCCGGGAAGTGAACCAAGGACAGACCCAGAACGAGTATGTGCGACAGCAAGGCGTTGCAGGGTACTGCAAGTTAATAATAAAATTTTATAATAAAATAAAAATATCATAGACACATGCTACCACAGACAACAACCATTGCGAACAGCTGACAGTTCTTATCAGCGTAAATTCATGACGCGGTTGGCAACGCGACACGCTACGCAGTCTGGTAGCACAGCATACATAATTATTTTTAGTCTTCTGCTAACTCGCTATTAAGATAGTAAAGTAAAATAAAAGTGTTTCATTTTCATAATTATAATTTCCCAACCGAGTTAGAGTTAGAGTAAATTCTTTAGTTACGATTTAGCATATTTTTATTATTATACGAAATATTTAAAAATCAATACGTCAGGTACGGCAATTTAACTTTGTTGCGGTAGTGCGCGAGCAGCTTTCTGGTTCAGCGGGTCCAAAAGTCCATTCGTCACCGCACATTGTTTGCATAGCGTTGTGTTATTGTTATTTTGCGTATATTTACATACATTTAAACGACAATAGCAATTGAACGCAATTATCGAATTTCTATTTTGTTTACGTTTGCACTTTTGTTTTTGTTGTTGAATCAAGCAACATGGCTACGCTTTTGAAGTTAGCTAAAGGTAAGTTGATCAGATTAAAGTTATACGTACATACGTGTACATACATATACACATATGTATGTTGCTTACATAATTATACAACATAGAAAGAGAGGCTGGTCTCAGACCAACAGGAATGTTGTCTGTTATAGACCGTCGATATATCGTCGCCAATACAAGCCCCCTTTCTGCGCAAGCTATTATTTATTATGAAGATTAATTTCGAAATATTTATTTGTTTTACTTTATATTCATACGTAGTGCTACGAAATTTCTCGTTAGTAATTTTACACAAATTTATATAAGTATATATGTATATACTTATTTTGTATTATATATATCTATATATATATAGATACATATATATGTATATGCACATATTTAACTACAAAATCAAAGTTCATTATTAAAAATTTGTTATTCGGCGATTTAAAATCTTCAGCAAAATGAAACAAAAATTTCGATTCTGTTAATTAACTTTATCTATATGAAGGTTACATATATTGTTTGCCAGTGTTGTTTTATTATTATTTTTATTTCTTTGTTTATTTTTATTTATTTCTTATCTATAATGTGTTTGTTTGCCGGCGCAGATAAGTGAGACCTTATTTTTGCTCTTTGATATTTTGTTGTTGTTATTATTTTCATTTTGTTTTGTTAAACAAAATGTAATATAATTTGGCAGGCAATATTCCGGGTTTTGACTATATTTTTAAATTAATGTTTATTTTAATTTGTTTTAATTTTTACCTTATTCAATTTTAATTTGTTTAATATTTTTTTAATTCTATTTTTTTAAGGAATTTATTCTCAATTTTGTTTTAATTTTTTTGTTTAATTTAATTTTATTCAATATTTGTTATTTAATTTTTGTATTAATTTAATTAAATTAATTTAAATTAAATTTTTATTTTTTTTAGCTTTTTTTGATAATATTTTTATTTTATGCTTATTTCATTTCATTTATTTATTTTATTTTAATTTATATTTTATTTATTTTATATATGTATCTTAATTTTGTTTAGTTTGATAGAATTTAAATAATTTACTAATTTATTTTATTTTATATTTTATGTTGTTTAATTTTTAGTTTTATTTTTTTTGTTTAATTTTAATTTAATTTAACTAATTTAATATTTGTTTTTTTTTTTAATTAAATGTCCTTTTGTTTCTTTCTATTTTATTTTATGTTATTTTATTATTTTTTATTTAATTTTAATTTTAATTTTGTTGTATTTTCCTTTCATTTCTTTTGTTTATTTTATTTTCATTTATTTTAACTCTTTATTTTATATAATATTTTTTAAATTTATATTTTAGTTATTTTACATAAATTACTTTATTTTATGTAAGTTTGTTTACATTTAATAAAATTTATTTTGTTTCTGTTAAGTTTTACTGAATTTTAATAATTCACTAATTTATTTTATTTTAGTTGATTTTCATTCGAATTTATTGTTTAATTTTAACTTAATTTAACTTATTTAATATTTGTTTTTTTTTTTTAATTTAATTTCCTTTTGTTTCTTTTATTTTATTTTAATTTTCTTTTACTCCAATTTTTTTTATTTATTTTAATTGACATTTTATATTTTCTATATAATTAATTTTATTTTATGCTTGTTATTTGAGGTTATATATTATTATTTTATTTATTTTGTTTAGTTTCATCTTAGTTTAATTTATTTTTTATTTTAATTTCTATTATTGGTTCAATTTAGTTTAATTTGATCTTCCGAAGTTTCTTTTATTTTATATTAATTTTTATTTAATCCATTTGTTTCATTTATTTTATTTTTACTTTCTTAGATCATACTTATAGTAATTTATATTTTAATTTTGTTCTGCAGCAAATCTTCTCTTCCGTCCATCGTTCGTGCGAAGTGTTTCAGATGTTGCGAAATATCCCAAAATTACCACACATTACACCATCCATCCGCGGGACAAGGATGAACGTTGGAAAGGTACGAAAGATGATTAATTTTGCATTAAAAAGTTTCCTTTTGAAACCGTTTAAATCAACTCTAATTTTAGAGGTGGATATGGAGCGGTACGTAGACGAAGTGGATATCGTTATAGTAGGTGGTGGTCCTGCTGGTATGTCCGCCGCTATACGCGCTAAACAATTGGCTGCTGAGCAGGAAAAGGTTCATAAAAACTGGCGAAAGCTTGAACTCTTTTCAATTTCATTTTTTTTCCACAGGAATTGCGTGTTTGTGTTGTGGAGAAATCTGCCGAAGTTGGTGGTCACATACTCTCAGGCGCTGTCATAGACCCAATTTCCTTGAACGAACTCTTTCCCGATTGGAAAGAGTTGGGTGCACCGCTAAATACGCCAGTCACCACCGACCACTTTTCACTGCTCACCACCTCCAATCGCATTCCATTGCCCGTCTTCAAAGGTTGGCCCATGGATAATCATGGCAATTATATTGTGCGTTTGGGACATTTGGTGAAATGGTTGGGTGAACAAGCAGAAGCTTTGGGTGTTGAAATCTATCCCGGCTGCGCCGCCTCAGAGGTGCTCTTTCACCCGGATGGCAGTGTCAAGGGTATTGCTACCAATGACGTGGGCATCGCTAAGGACGGCTCGCCGAAGGACACATTCGCGCGTGGCATGGAGTTGCACGCGAAAACAACGATATTTGCCGAAGGCTGTCGCGGACATCTGTCCAAACAGCTAATGCAACAGTTCAAATTAAATGAAGGCAGTCAACCGCAGACTTATGGTATTGGGTTGAAAGAAATTTGGGAGATTCAGCCAGAGAAACATGTGTAAGCTCTGTTGTTACGATTTGCAATGACAGCTGCAATGTAAAATGTATAATGCTTCTGCTTTTTAGGCCCGGTTTGGTGGAGCACACGATAGGCTGGCCCATGGACTTCCGCACATATGGTGGCTCGTTCCTGTATCACCTGAATGAGCCTACGCCCACAATCGCTGTTGGTTTCGTGGTCGGATTGGATTACAAAAACCCTTGGATAAGTCCATTCCAAGAATTCCAGCGCTTCAAGACACATCCAAAAGTGCGTACCATCTTTGAAGGCGCCACACGCATTGCTTACGGCGCACGTGCTATTAATGAGGGCGGTTTTCAGAGTTTGCCGAGCAAACTGACATTCCCTGGTGGCTGTTTAGTAGGCTGCAGTGCGGGCTTCCTCAATGTGCCGCGCATTAAGGGCTCACATTATGCAATGAAAAGCGGTAAGTTGTAGAAATGTTATCCAATAACCGGATAACTAAATCCGCATCTTAAATTGCAGGCATGTTAGCCGCCGAAAGTGCTATCGAAGCGATTTCGAGCGAATCACAATCAACTGCGGGTCTTGAGCCAAAAACGTATGCAGAGAAGTAAGTGGCAGCAAAATTCTTTCCCAAATCATACATTAATTCATGTTTTCGTTCTACACAAGAATCCAAAACTCTTTCATCTGGAGAGATCTGCGCGATGTGCGTAACGTACGCCCATCTTTCCACAATCCGCTCGGCATGTACGGCGGCCTTGCTCTTAGCGGTTTCTCATTATTTATGCGTGGTCGCGAGCCATGGACACTGAAACACGGCTCACCCGATCATGAGTCGCTGAAACCTGCCAGCCAATGTCAACAAATTGTCTATCCCAAGCCGGACGGCAAAATCTCTTTCGATCTGCTCTCATCCGTAGCATTGACCGGCACTAATCACGAGGGCGATCAACCTGCGCACTTGACACTCAAAGACGATCACATCCCAGTCGATCACAATTTAGCGATCTACGAGGGACCCGAACAGCGCTTCTGTCCTGCCGGCGTTTATGAGTATGTGCCCAACGACGAAGGTGGCAACATGAAGTTGCAGATAAACGCCCAAAATTGCATACACTGCAAAACCTGTGATATCAAAGACCCCAAGCAGAATATCAATTGGGTTGTGCCAGAAGGTGGCGGCGGTCCTGCCTACAATGGCATGTAAAATCTTTGTAGGACTCACTCCACCGATTTGTTAGTCTGTTGTTGCATTTGATTTTATTTTTGTTAAGAAATTTTAAAATTTGATTTCGCAAATTTAACTGTATATCCTTGATAAAAGCGATTTTTTGGGAAACATCATTTTACGGAAGCAATAATTTCGAAATTAATATTATTTTATATTCTATGCTCTATCCTAATTATGTTTATATGTAGTGTATGTAGTTAGAAGAAATAGTAAGAACTGAGATTTCAAATTGAAAAATAATTTAAACTACAAAAAAAAAAAAAAACCAAATAAATTATTTTTATATAACAATGAAATGGAATTAGTTTTCTTGTTGTACCTACATATATGTACATTCAACTATGTATGTATGAAAGTGAAATCTGATTTAAGTATTTTAATCTAAGCGAATGAAACAAAATGTTCTTCATTTCATTTGAAATACTTTTTTTTTTTAATTTTATTTGTATGTCAAGTTTTCTTGGGCGTGTTTTTTTTTTGTTTAAAACATTTATTTCACTTTTCTTGTTTTTTACAATACATAATTTCACTTAACATTTGCATTAACTATAAATAATATATTTTCTTCTTTTTTTCTTTTTTGTCTCTCCTTCAATTTTATTGGTTTCAGCTGAGTAGCACGCATTTTTGTACACTTAACAAATATACTATATGTATGTGTATATTATATATATTGTATGCATGTGTTGTGAGTGTTTAGCTGCATTAGCATTTAAGTCAATACAATCATTCACTTTAAAATTCACATTAAAATCTTTGAAACAATTTATTTTTATTTTTATTTTTATTTATATTTTTATTTCTATTTATATTCTTCTTTTGTTTTCATTTCAAGTACACATTTTCAATATTTATTCAATATAATTATTTGTCGCTATGTCTAGCTTGATTACAGTTAAAAAACATACAAGTGCTTGGCTTAGTTTCAAGGTTTCTTTCACTTATTTTATTTAATTTGTTTAATTTTACTTTTTATAGCCATAAAATTACACAGTTCATTCACTTATTTGTGAATAGTTAGACTAAATTATCATAAGGTTTATGGGGGTGTGTGAGTGTGTGTGTATGCGTATGATTTTGTTCTTGTGTTCAGTTAAATAGCAGTGTTGTGTTAATTCTTCTTCTTCTTTTTTGTAGTTATTAAAACTTGAAATTTATATCATTTTTTATTATGATTTTTATTAAATCTTTTTTGTTTCAATTTTTAAAATTAATTAATTTTTTTTTGTTGGAAAATCGTCAGTTCAATTTATAGCGGTTAAATAGAATAAATTTTTAAAATTTTTTTTCCTTCATTTTTTTTTTCTTTAAAAAACTCCTAACGACAAGAAAATACCTCCCTTTAGTCATACAACAGCGCAAAAAGTGCTCATCTTCGTCTCTTTGGTCGTGAAGAATTCCTTCAGTTGGCCGTTGCAAATGTTAAAAAGAAAAATTTTCTAAGCAACCAAATTCCGACACGCTTAGTGGTGATAATCGACAAAACTCTTTCACGATTGTATGGGTTTTACTAAAAAGTTTAACTGAAGATATAATACAATAGATAGATATAATAGAGCTTTAGATGTAATGCGGGTAAATCGTTGGCGAAGTTCAAGCAAGCGGGGAAAGTTTTTGACGGCCATTCCCCTAGGAGTGGTCAGAGAAGTTTCTTTTATGTTCAAGCAGCTCATGACTTTCGGACCAGATACCATCCGGCTAGCCAGTCGTTTCAAAATGTGAAGGCGGCGATAGGTTAATGCTTCAATTGATAAGTTCCTGCTGGCCAGCTGATAGATATACTCAAAAATACTGAAGGATGACGCCATCGCGTTCCAAGAAATGTAATAAACTGGTTAAGCTCCGAGAAAGATAGGTTTATGGACCGCAAATTTGGTGTTGAGCTTCTGAGGGAGGAGAGATTTTGACGCCGTGAACTATTATCCACCTCCGTAGGTCATCCGCATCAAATCGAAGTTCTTCAACATAAAGCGCCTAAAGCGCTCTTATGAGCGATGACTCAACCATAAAATAAAAATATTGTTTATTGACAGCAATTTCAGTTTAGATGAAGAAGAGAAAAAAGGTTTATTAAAGGCTACGCTTTGCACCGTGCACAGTAATTTGTTGTTTGTTAATTTTTGCGCAATTTTTTTAGTCAAAAATCTGTGACTGCCGTAGTGTTGCCAAAAAAAATATTATTTGAAAATTTTCCCATACTTTACTTATTAGGACCACATACATATATATTTTTCGACGGAAAAAATTACTTTTTTTTATAATATTACATCAAGTTTCGCCCACTGTATATATGACGAAAATGGTTCGATGACGTCAACGGTTATCGTAACCTTGTATTCTATGAAACATTGTCAAAAATGTGTAAATAAACAAACACTTCATGATAAAACCTTTAAATAGAATTAATGCTGAATACATTTTTTCAGTAAAAAAAATTCTAGTAAATAGTAAAACCATTTTTCAAAAACCTTATCAAGCTTAATATCTGGAGCATATCCAAAGAGACTTTACATCTCTTCTGCATAGCTGCTTTACTAAATTTATGTATGCACATATCATACGTATATATATATATATTTTTTTACGATTTTCAAGGCTTTTAAAAAGCAATCAAATAATTTTTTTTTTAATTTTAAAGCATATTTTCTTAATTAAGTAAGTGTTTGTGTTTGTTTATGTGTGTATGTGTGTGTGTGCTTAAATGTGTATTCCCTTTTCATTTCCATTGAATTCAATTGTACTTACATATTTACAAACATTTATTGGGAGAAAGGTATATTTTGCATGTACATATTGTACATATGTACATACATATGTATGTACATATGCATGTATGTGCTGGTATATTTAGTAGTTAGGTCACATTGAACATTTAACATTTCCAATTGTTTGTAAACAGTATGTATGTGTGTATAATACAAAACATTTATTTATATTTCTGTGCCTGTTTTTTGTTTACTTTATTTTTTTCAATTTCAAAATATAAAATTTTCTACTTAATTCTCTGCCGTAGAGCATTTGAAATTCCGCTCTCCCCCCCTCGCTATTGAACAAATTTGAATTGAGCTGACAATCGTTAAGAAATATTTCACTTTTGTATCGGACGTTGCACTGTTAAATACTATTGTATGTAGGATTGTAACTTGTAGTTAAATAGGTATGTACGCATATGGACATATGTGACTTTGCTGGGAAGTCTCCAGACCCTTTTTTATACACAATTTATCAAGAGTTATGCTTTTACTTTTATCAACATTTAAACAGTTAAAGTTTGCATTTCAATTTATTTGTCTGTTTTTATTCATGTATGTTGTTTTTGTTTTTTTCTTTCAGATTTTCCTTGCAGTTTTGCATGAAATTTCAATATATTCCTGTTTGTTTTTTTTTTTTTTTGTCTACTACTTTCTCAAATTTTTAGGTAAAATTGTATTTTTATTTCAATAATGTTTCAATATTTGAAAACTTGCATATATGTTTGTATGTATCGTAGATATAATTATAATAATTTAAGCTATTTCTTCACTAGTTTTCCTTGTTTTTGTCTTCAGTTTTGTAAGTTTTTAAAGCCTTTAATTCACCGTTTTTATTTTTATTGGTTTTTATTTTTATTTATTTATTTTTTAAATCCAATAAATAGCACAATTTTCACCTGCAATAAATTCCTCTATTCACATTTCAATTATTCACATTGCCTGGTTGTCCTGTTGTGTTTTGTATACATACATATATAGTATTTTCAACTGCTTTTTTTACTATGTTTTTAAGGTTTTATTTGTATGACTGTCGTTAATTTTTCTATTTTAGTGTGTTTATTCTGACTGGCATTTTTCTGTTTTTTATGGTTTTTATTCATTTTTTTGGTTAAATTACATTTAAATATATATATATATGTGTATATATATAATGATTTTATTTAAACATTTATTTTGTAAAAACGAGGCACTGTTTTTAAGGCAACTACAAAGTGGAGTTTTCAAAATGAAATAGTGAAAAATCAGTTGTTAGACGAGAATTCGATTTGAAAAATTAAAGAAAAAAAAATAATAATTACAGTCATAACATAGTTATGCGGTTTCAATGAGTGCAAGAGCGAAATTTCTATTCTATTTTGCGGTAAATTTTTCTTATTTAAGTTTATGTGAAAGTCGGTAGAATCTTTAATATCACACCTATTCATAGCAAAAACCTCAAACAAATTACTACTCAATTAATAATTCAATAAAAGATAAAATTAAAATTAAAAGAAAAAAAAACATCAAAAATAAGAAACAAAATTAAATATAATAAAAAGTTTAGTAACTAGAAATAAAGACCTGAAAATACTTAATTCAATGATTTTAAAAAATATGATTAATAAAAATAAAATAAAATTTAAAAATTTTAACGAAAAATTTAGAGATAATAAAATTAAATTAAATTAGTTTTAATCAAATTAAACTAAATAAAACAAAATGAAATAAGGTAAAACAAATTAAAACAAAATAATACAAAAAATTAAATAAAAATATAAGCAAATAGAATAAAATAAGGTAAAAAAATTAAGTAAAACACAACAAAATAAAAATTATAATAAAATAATATAATACTAAATTAAATTAAATAAGTTAAAATTAAATTAAATTAAATTAAATTAAATTAAATAAATATAATTATATTACATACTCGTAAACAAGAAAATAAAATAAATTAAAATAAAAAAGTAATTTAAAACAAAATGAAATAAACAAAAAATAATGCAAAATTAAATGTCATGACGTAAAATAAAATAAATTGATTTGAAAAAAAAAAAAAAAAAAAATGAAAATATGAAATAAATGAAAAAAAAAATGAAAAAATGAAAAAAAAATATAAAATAAAAAAAAAATAATTAATTCAAATCATTGTTTCTTATTCTCCCATTTTGTAATTATCAAAATGCGAGCNTTAAAAATATAATTAAATTAAAAAAAAAAAAATAAAAAAAAAATAAAATTAAAAAAATTAAATAAATAAATAAAAATAAAACAAAAAAAATTAAAACAAAATCAAATGAAATGATGTTAAATAAAATAAATTGAATTAAAATAAAAAATAGATAACAAAATAAAATAAAAAAAAATTGAATATAAAATCAAGTTAACCTAAAATATATAAATCAAAATAAAATAAAATGAAATAAATTAAAACTAAAAAAAATAAAAAATAAATCAAATGTAATGATGTAAATTAAAATAAATCGAATAGAAACAAAATAATAAAATAGAAAATAAAATAAAATATTCAATATACGTATATATATGATAGGCTTTGTCCTAA